ATGGTGTCTTCACAGGTCTCACTAAAACATCTATTAGGAAGCTGCAGCTGATTCAGAACGCCGCTGCTTGAGTCCTCACTAACACTAAGAAAGTGGATCACATCACTCCAGTTCTGAAGTCTTTACACTGGCTTCCTGTGTGTCAAAGAATAGATTTCAAAAATACTGCTGCTGGTTTATAAAGCACTGAATGGTTTAGGCCCAAAATACATTTCTGACCTCCTGCTAAATGATGAACCATCCAGATCTCTCAGGTCTTCAGGGACTGGTCAGCTTTCTGTCCCCAGAGTCAGAACTAAACATGGTAAAGCAGCGTTCAGTTATTATGCTCCAAATATCTGGAACAAACTCCCAGAAACCTGCAGGTCCGCTGCAACTCTGACTACTTTTAAATCCAGGCTGAAGACTTTTCTTTTTGTCGCTGCTTTTAATTGAACTATTCATATCTTAGACTGCACTATAACTTTTATCCATGTTAATGTTTTAATGTTTATTTTATTAGCTTTTCTTTTTAATGACTGATTTTAAATGCCTTTTTCTTAATGTCTTACATTTTTTGTAAAGCACTTTGAATTGCCTTGTGTTGAAAAGTGCTATATAAATAAACTTGCCTTGCCTTTGGTCTATGTATGTAATATAAAGTATAACTTATCTATAACAGAGCCAAGATCTCTGTATGACTTTAATAAACTTCTGAATTGAATTAAAAAATAAGTGTAAACAACAGTGCAGTACCTCCAGCTAGCTAGTTAGCGTCACATATTTGTCCGTATTATTTAACGAAAATGTACGTTTTATTGCCCCTTGGGTTTGACGTGTGTGACGTTAGTTAATTTAAAGTAAGTTAAAACCCAATACTCACATTTATTAGTGATTCCTCCGCTCGCTGCTGCTTTTAAATCCACTCTGCTGGGGAGACCGGAAGCCATTTCATTTGAAAAAACCGCCCTCTTCCCTGCGGGCATTGCACCCTGGGATATGGTAGGCCGCGGAGTGTACATCAGATGTATCCTTCAAATTGGGGAAAAGTAAGCTGCATTCGTGGGCCGCATTCGGAGGAGTCTCGTCTTTTTTTAGAATTGGGACAGCCTTCTTTCGGCGGAAGTGACGTAAGCGGTCTACGAATGCACCCTTCGAAGGATGCAACCCCTAAATTGAGACACGGCCTAGGGTTGGGTATCGTTTGAATTTCCACGATTCTGATTACGATTCCGATTCTACTTTTCGATTTCGGTTCTTAACGGTTCTCAATTCCGATTCTTTGAGGGGCAGGGTAAAAAAATGATTAAGTTCTTGTTGAGAAAAACAAGCATATCTGCCTTCTCAGGCATACCAGGAAGAAATGTTTGAACATTTTAAAGCAAAATGCTTCAATCTGGTGCACTTTAAGCAGAATTACTAGAGACTAGATCTAGGGGGTACAACTCTAAACACCCATATGAAAAAGATCGGTTTACATTTGAATAATTAAATAAGTATGTGAGCATAACCAATAACCCATAGCCAATAACAAATACATGTAACGTATTTTATTTTTGTTGTTCATTCATATCTTATTTAACTATTTTATTTATGCATATTTTTTTATCTCTCCAGTTTAAAACGATATGTCTGGTTTACTGTCCTATAGTATACATTGGAATGATTTCAAACCTGTTTTATCCCAATAATTATAAAGGAGTGCCTTGGAAATATGTGTTTACATAAATTGTGATCAAAACGTTTGAGACCCACTGAGATAACTTAGACTAAAGTGAACTATCTAAACACTCAGAGTCCTTTACCTCACTGAGCTGTAGTTATCAGCCTCTCAGTCTGACTGGACTGGAGAGGACTCTCTCTCCACATCATTGTAGAAACATCTTCTTCTTCCGTTAGAGCAGCTAGCACCAGATGCTAATAACAACAGCGCCGGTTCCAGTGCACCCTCCCTTTCTCCCTCGCTCACTCGCACTTTGGCTGTGAGCTGCGGGCGCCAGATAAGCCGACATCCCCCATTTTCATCACTTACAGCGCCCATCTTACAGGGCGAATGAAACGTGTAACCGGGGTGAAAAGGGTGTTACATTTACTTAATTATGAATGTTGTTACATCAAGGCCGAAAATTAGGATGAGCACCAACGGTCAAAACATTTGTTTTCCCTCCCAGAGCTGTCAGCGCAGCGCCTCCCAGATCTGGCGCCCTAGGCGAACATCTATAACGCCAGTGCAACGGGCCGGCCATGGTCTCAGGTTACACTGTAGGAAGTGTAGGTACAACGCTACATTTCCCGCCCCGCCGCAGTCATACAGTAGGCTACGGAGAGCGGCGAGAAACATTTCCTCAGGCATCGAAAAGCGGAACCGAAATTCACATTTCTAAATGATGCCGTTGGAATCGAAATGTTGGAACCGGTTCCGAACCGGAACCAGTTCTCGGTACCCAACCCTATACAACACCCAGTTGTCTTTGTGTATTTGTGAATGAAGCGCTATCTCATGGTTAAATCCCGTAATTGAACAAATGGGGAAATTTAGCAACGCCCTCTAGCAATTTGGCAACACCCCCAGCCACTGGGATCCGCTGGGTTTTTGGTTGGAATCCGCTGGGTGGAGTCCTATCTGGAGTGCTACATCTGGAGAACCATTGAGGCCTTTCAGGAGTGGTAGGGGGCAGGGTTTGTTTTCCAAGGCTCATTTCCCAATTTATGTCACCCTGTTGTGTCTCCAGTGTTTCAGGCTGCATGTGGGAACAGGGGGAATGTTCTTGATCTAACATGCTTCAGAATATAATGACTTAATGATGCATTTTTGCTGTGTTAAATTGTCAATGTTTCAAATACTTTGCAAGAAAGAAAGCAGCAAAGAAATGTTGATTACTAAGAACTCTCTCAGCAATTATTCAGTACGATAGTATCAGACTCCTAAGAGCCCAGTCTCATGGGATACATGAGGGTAAGCTTGCTTCTTTTAGAAATATGTATATGTAGCCCTAATACCATCCTGTCAAAGAATAATGTGACTTTACTTTGCAAGATCGCCATGTGCTCTAACTTTTCCAAGCAAGTCAGAGATTTATCAGTACACCATCTTGAATACAATCATAAGACCATCGAAGACCTTGACCATCTAAAGATCAGTGATACTAGTAAAAACAAAGATAGACTATCAAGTGTATTATTTGAATTAGACTCAAAAAGCTAGTTTAGAATATTAAAGACCAAACAATACCATGATACCACCAGGGTAGACCTTGAAGAACATCCTGTACCATCAAGAAATCTGCTTAGACCTACAGAGACCAGATTTAAACTAAAAAACTAGCTCCAAAGCTTTGAAAGACAACAATCACAAAGTTCGGCTGAAAACTTTTCATGGGAGAAATAAGTTAAAATAATTAAACACTTGTGTCTAGTTTCTTTTTCAGTTTTTATTCTAGCTTTTTTCTCTCAGACAATCACTTCCACTACGAAACACTGTACACCATTGTAATTCTCCAAAGAGTCTCTCAGAGATAAGACTACTTCGCAGCTGTTCACAACAAAAGAAGCCAAACCCTTGCTGTTCAGGAATGAATAATTGAGGGTCTATATGACTATACCATGCAAGCGAAAATGCATACATTGACTGTTGGTGAATATGTGAATGAATGCTGTATACAAATGTGTAAAGCAGGCTTATGATGTCGATGTACACAACAGGATATCAGTCATTTGCAGCAGCATTATTCTGAACCAGAAAAACACTGCTTGGGGACATTCTTTAAAAACGGCCCATAACGGCACTGTGGTTTCATGGAAGTCATTTGCTAGTAATGGATGCAGGTTTACCTTTTAGTGTTGTAGGGAGCCCTTTTTTTATTACCACCCTTTATTGAGCAATGTTATAAATGTGTGTGAAATAGTGTTCAGCCAAACATTCAGTATAGACAGGATGTGGCGGTAATAGACGCAGTTATAGGTCTTTGCACAGACTTATGTACCAAAGGCTGATGAGACAGCATGACGGAAGCAGTTTTGATGTTTGAAACACGAGCAATAATAAACAAGACTGATTTTTCACTAATACAAAATTTAAGAATGATATTAGTCTAGTCTAACCATCATAGTGAACCTGTGCAAGTTGCAATGTATAGTAGGGTCCCCAGCACATATAAACTGCATTAACTTGCATATGTTGGGCAGTTTGCACAATTAGCATAAATTGTGTTAGTTAAAATGAATGGTATTGTAACCTGTATAAGCAATTGTTACAAAATAACTACAGTAGGCTAATTTGGACAATTTAGACTGGGTTTGGGGGTTACTGAGGATGCTGAATTTTTTGGATCTAAAAGGGCAGTTTTAACCAGAAAGCGGCCATATTTGTATTCTCGATGAGCTGGTTTTGAATAGCATGAATAGTGTTGCAACACTGGATATAGAGAGCACAAGATAAACATGATTATCTCTACTGTGGAAAATTATTTTTCAAATAAATAGGCAATCTGTCAAATCCAAATGATCCAGAGTCCCCTAAATCTTCCAAATCGACCAAAAATGTATCAAAAATAAGCCCAGAGAGTACAAATATTGGCTTTTCCTGGTTGAACTGCCATTTTTTATATACTGAAAATGTCAGAAATGGGCTCAGCATTCTCAATAACCCCGAAACCACACCAAAATTGTCCAAATCGGCCAAGCCATTTTTCAAACCATTTTCCACATGGGCTTTTATTGTAATTCATGCTACAAAACTGATGCTAATTGTGCAAATTGCCCAACATGCCAGTTAGCATCTGGCCGTTTCTATGTTCTGGGGACCCCTACTATAACTTTTAAATATAAAATAAAAAAAAAACAAATACCTACAAACACAGAAATGTCTTCATGCTTACCTTGTTAATGCAGTGATGTCTCAGAAAAAAACAGAGCAAACTCTGTCCTCTCAGGTATGACTCTTTGTACTTTGATGTTGTGCTCGGTGTATGTTCGAGGCCAACTAAGTGACAGTTCTTTGTTTTTCCCCTCATTTTCCTAAGGTCACAGAAAGGGGAGAACAATGTGTCCTGAAAGGAAGCTACAGCAGAAACCTTGTGATTTCATCCCACTCTGCAAGGCTGTGCGACTCAACAAGACTACATGAGTGCAGGAGCAAAGCAACTCAACCTATAATTGGACACTTGATGAGATTTGACATGCTGATAAAAAAAACATTTCAATCCACGGATGGAGTGCTTTGTATGTGCAGTTTATCCAAGTGGTATGAAGTCTCTTTTGATCAGAACTCTGCACTTACTACTACCCTGAAAAAAACAGGCAATATGATGTTTATTCGTTTAAATTAAATTATACATGATTGCCAACAAAGAATCCTGCAAATCCGAGAGTATTTTGAGAGCTGCACTTGCAGGTCGATGATGTGAAGGTTATTATGCAACCGCTGCAAACCCAATTTTTTCTGTTATATTGAAATATGGAAGGTTGGACTTAATAAGAATTGATTGACCACTAAATATACCAGAGACCCAGGAAACTCAAGGACTTATTGATGGTGAAAAAACGGAACAATGGACATTTTCTTTCTTGGATAATCAGAGGTATTACAAATTCCAAGAAGCACACAGTTTTCCTTGACAGGTCTTTATAGCACCATTAGCTAGCATCATTCAAACTTAAAGCATCATATACTACTAACGTTGAAAATGGATTTCAATGGGAGCCAGGACTATGGGTCCTATCCAACAGGGCTGCCCTTTAACACAAGCATGGACTATGAGGACTACTACCAGGAGCCTGATGCCAGTAAAATCATAATTCCATCCATCTATGCTCTTGTCTGCTGCGTCGGTCTTACTGGCAATGCCATGGTCATCTACGTCATTCTGAAATATGCCAAAATGAAAACAGCTACTAACATTTATATCCTCAACTTGGCTATTGCTGACGAGTTGTTCATGTTGAGTGTTCCTTTTCTGGCCACATCGGCTGCTGTCCGCCATTGGCCCTTCGGTTCGCTGATGTGTAGATTGGTGCTGAGCGTAGATGGAATCAATATGTTTACATCAATCTTCTGTCTGACTGTGTTGAGTGTGGACCGTTACATAGCAGTGGTCCACCCTATAAAGGCGGCCCGCTACCGCAGACCCACTGTGGCCAAAGTGGTGAATGTGTGCGTATGGGGGCTGTCACTGATAGTCATCCTGCCCATCATTATCTTTGCAGACACGGTCCCAGCACAGGATGGTGGGGTGGACTGTAACTTCTTGTGGCCTGAATCTGCATGGTCAGAAGCATTTGTGGTCTACACCTTCTTATTGGGGTTTTTACTGCCGGTCGGGGCCATTTGCCTCTGCTACTGTTTGATGGTGGCCAGGATGCGAGCAGTTGGGCTAAAAGCAGGCTGGCTTCAACGGCGACGCTCGGAGAAGAAGATCACCCGGATGGTGCTGCTGGTCGTGGCTGTGTTCGTTATCTGCTGGATGCCCTTCTACATCGTCCAATTGGTCAGCGTTTTCCACAGGCCCCCAGACCCCATGGTGACTCAGCTGTTCGTCATCCTTAGCTACGCTAACAGCGGCGCCAATCCTATCCTGTACGGCTTTGTTTCCGACAATTTCCGGCGTTCCTTCCAGCGCATTGTGTGTTTCCGCTGGCTGGAGTCTGGGCTGGATGCGGAACAAGTGGATTACTGTGCTGTGGCTTTGAAGAGACAAACAGCATGTAACCCTCTGGATTTTCCCAAGGACTGTATGGCTTCTGATATGGTGTTTCGCAATGGAACATATACCTCCCGTACAACCACAGTCTAACCAGAACAGGGGCTAAAAGAAGTAGCTTTCACCTATGGAGGATTGCAAGTGTGCAATTTCAACATTGGATAGAGAACCCTGAAGAACAACTAAAGGACCAGCAGAAATTGTTCAGCAGCTGACTGATATGTTAAGAGAAAAACTGAAAAAGGAAATATGTATAACTGTTAAGATCCCACTTATTATCTGTTTCGAAGTGGGACAGAATGTAAAGCACAGGTGAATGTAAGCACAACATGGTATGCTTATCAACATTTTGATACTGTTACATAACTTGTAACAATGGACATTTTACAAAATCGCACTGTGGTGCTTATGGTTGAATCAAAGCATTGTTAAGAGGGACTTCAATCCTTGTAAGAGTTGGAATGTGACGCAGCTGCTATGTGTGTAGACAAAGTTTACAAATGGCCTCATTAACGTTATCAGCATTGGGTTAAAACCCAAAATATTGCCACATTGGCGCTTTTGCTTTTCGCTTTGTATCCAAATCGTGATTTTCCATTTAGTCAACCCAGTATCGTCATGTTTAGGGTGAACTCTGCTGCTGCTGTATGGGGCATACCGTTTACATTTTTACCGTATCGTCAGTTCAACCCGGAGAGACGTGATGTAAGGAATACATATTTATTGTTACACGTCACGAATGAAATGATTGCCATGATAATACAACAGGAGAATGGAATGGTGTTTGGCGATTAGGCCCCGGTTTGCAGGATAATCATTCAGGAGGGAAAGAACCGCTCCGATGAAATCCCCGGGGTCTAGACACTGGTGGTGGTGATAAGTAGGTGGGACCGGTCTGAAGGAGGAAGGTTTTAGCTTTGTCCTGGACGAGGCGAGAGGGGTGGAGGAGGGTTGCGTGTGGTCACCTGAAATGACAACTGACAGGAAGGAAGAGCAGGCATTTAAGGAATTTAACGTGTGCAGCAATTGGCTGCTGAGGGGTGACGCCCACGCATTTAATGAGGGGGGAGAGAGCAATAGAGTGACGTGTAAGTGACTCATTGTTAGGTCTTCCTTATTGAATTTGCGCTAAAGCTGTCATTTGTCCAACTACGTATAAATACAATTATTGTCAAAAACTTAATGAGTTAATTTCTATTAAAAAAACAACTTCACAATAGGGTCAATGGGTAAATACTGTCATTGGTGTATGCCTACATGTGTGGTTACACCAACTACCACAGCAAACCTAGCCTATGCACAAGTGGCTACTTTGATATGCCGTAAACAAATTCCCAATATGAAAAAACATGTACATTTTTCATATTGAAATTGTAGCCTACTATTTACACTCTAAGAAATCATCAAATGACGCATCTACAATCCCCAAATTCTACAGATTAGTATAACTTCAAGAAATAAAAAAACTATAGTTACACTTTACCTCGCAAAAATAGGTTTACATTACATTACATTTTGTATAACACCCATATAGGTTTTTCTTTCATTTTTAACAACTTTGAGATAGTTTCATGTTGGGGTTTTGTTTTTTACCTTACCATTTTCAAATGTAGACATATCTGGATTCAATAACTTTCAATATATAATTTCATAGGCAGTGATTTGGTTTATAATTGTCATAGCTGTCTTTTGAAGGACTGTGTTACAATAGAAAAGTAGTAGTTTACAAGTTCAACATCGTTTTTCATAAGCTTGCTTGGTGAATTTATTGCTAACCAAATATAATATATTCAGTTGTAGTTACAACTTTACATTTATTTGAACAGTATCAAAAAGCTGTTTAAAATAAATGTTTATCATCTGAAATGATCTTTATTATCAGTTTATCTCGTAGGAAACCTATCATAATAAATTCAGTACAAAATAAACCTAATGGACCAAACATAAGCTGTGAGGAAATGTGGGTGCTGTTGGGCATTATATAAAATCAGGAGTTGTATCTTCATCTAAATATCGTGTCTATTTGCCTTTATAATAGCAGTTTCCAAATAATGGAGACGCTACCAATAAGATAATGTTTAACTTGCACCACGTGTTGTTTAAATCTCTCTTTCAAACTTCTAAATGTAGTTGATCTAGTTTCTTATATGTAGTGGTTCTACAGGTTTTTTACAACACAAAGTTAAATAAAAAATTATTGATGGATTGATATTTTTGGAGAAAAAATGTTACCAAACTTAACTTCATAGTATGATAGTGTGCTAGTTTTACTATTCTGAAACACATTAAACTGTGACATACTGTGTTGGGCTTATGTTAGCCAGACAGGATAAATGTTTCCCTAGGCTTTCAAATGATGTTTCATTCTTTCTGTGTATGTTCCTGTATTTGCTGTATCTGTATGTAATGTAAATTATTTGTCTGTGGATGTGTTTGTCTTTGCAAACTGAGCCAGAGCTGTTCTGCTCCAGTGACACAAAATGAGAGGAAGCAAATATATGTATATGTTCAGTTCAAAAGAGTATTTTCAAATGTGACTTCACTTTGTCATTTTGTGTTTTGCAAATTAGTTTCTCAAAAAAGTGAAAATTGTATTTCATAATAAAATCTAAATTTTAACTTCAAACATGATTATATGTCTAGAAAGAAAATGTCTATTAACCAGTAGCATTTCACACATTTGCCTTCAGTAGTGTCCAACCTGAATAAATCCACCTCTTAATACCATCATTATGACATCATGGCTATAAAAAACATTTATATAATACATAAACGCAGTATAACAGGGCGTTGCATCACAGACAGGTATCTAATGTATCGAGGAATGAATGCCATTACTAAAGCAGGAAACCCAAATAACACAATTCAACAAGTCTCCTTTCACTGCAGCCACAGCTGAGCCACATACTCTCTAGCAGAAGCACCAATATTTACTTAATAAAATGACAAGAAAATATCAAAACATTTAAATAAAAGTAATTATAATATACTCACCAATACGTTTGATTATCTCTACACCAAATCCCTCCTCCTTTCTCTCCTCAAGAAGAGTTCAGTTACTCTGTTGTACAGATGATCTGTGTTTTCAGTTCCAATGATAAGTCCTGTTCTATCACCATGGAAGCTAATGCTAAAATCCAGTCGTATTTCTGGTAAAAACCATAATGGAGCTCCGTTTCTCTGCGCACTTGTTCGTTAAGCTGTAGATCCACTCGGGCCTCCCCAAAGGTTTTCAAAAGCACCGTTGCTTGTAAGTTTCCGGCAGGTCTTTGGTGTCTATTCGCTGCCTTGGTTAGACAACTCAAGTTTGCAAACCCTGTAAGTGGATGTGAATATCTGGCGTTCCCAGCGATACAGTGTGCAGTGCTCCTCAGAGGCTGAGAGGTACCGCTGTAGTTAGTGAATTGGAAGTGGCGGACAAACCCTTTCCCCGGCTGCGACAGGCTTGCTAGTTTCACCAAATCCATTTCTCCTCCTCTGTCAGACATTGTGGTTTGAAAAAACAGCTTTAATATCTAAAGGCAAATATTTGACCTTGTGCAGGTTGCAAAGGAGTGGACACTACAGATGATGTAGCTACTGCTACACACAGTAGTGTTTGCAAGCACTGTCAATCCAATGAAAGGACGTGAAAATGCAGACCTCATCTACACCTGCTAGATGACCCAGGTGTCGCCAACATGAAATCTGATTGGTCAATGCAACAGTTTCATTGCCATTTATTTTAAGCTACAAGGCCTGCACTGTTGATTCTGAAGGCAGATGTATTGGTACCACTTTGTAATAAGACTACCCTTATAAAGGATTCATAAATGGTTTATAATTAGGTTATGAATTAGGTTGTACACACTTTATTAATCATTAAGAACCATTTATAAACCAGTTCTAACATAGTTTCATACGTCAACCCACGCTCACTATTTGGCAAGATGACTAAGCCTTATATTGGCTACAACTCAGTGAACAACAGATACCAAGGATGCTGGCTGATGAAGGAGACGAAGTAAACTAGGTAGCCAATATAAGGCTTAGCAGTACAGATAAATGTGGGCTCACTATTTGGCAAGCAACCGGTCACAGTTGCCCTGTTTATCTCATGTCTTATAAACGCTTATTAATGTTAAATAAAGTGTTCACAACCTAATTAATAAATTAATTACAAACTATTCGTAAACCCTTTATAAGGGTAGTCTTATTGTAAAGTGGTACCGATGTATTTGACCCAGCAACACATTCTGTCTAAAATATGATTGGTTAAACATTTCAACATTAACAATAATTACTGGCCACAGCGCAACCGAGCACAACACAGAGAAAAGCTATAAGATGAAGAGAATAGACTATTAGAAATAGTTGTGTACATGTTAATGAAAAAAACAAATGAAAAGTTTAGTTTAGTTTCTGATAGTGGATAGTCCAGCAGAGAATACCTTGCTGGCCAGGGACGCGAGAAGTCAGTCCGAGTTGGGGGTGTGGGCCTTTTTGGCGAGTTCCCCCACCTCGCCAAAAAGGCTGTAAGATATCTTCAGACCAGCTAGCTTAAATGGCACGCTGCTCATCTGAGCTAAAAATAGCACACACATGAGCTGAATATGAGACAGAGGAGTTAACAAAAAGTTCTTATGAGCATTTATACAAACTAACAGTTTTTTATATCACAGGCAGAAACACACAGCAACATGGTGAAGGAACATACATACAGTTCCCTTACATACCTTAGGGACATGTGTGTACACTTTGTGGACATTAACTACCGGTCGCGGTACGCCAAGTGTACAGACATGCAGTTCGGCCCCAGAGCAAAATAAAAATAAGCTGGTGCTACATGGATAGCCAGTGCAGGGGCCTTCCACGTGGAAAAAGAATCGGAGACGGACAAGCTTTCCCCGCAGAGATATAACATGTTAAAGTTTTGCACCAGGGGGCGTAATGTCCACTGAGTGGACATCATTGTCCGTGGCGTGTACAGAATAATATGTCCATATCACGTACATTAATACATAGAGTGGTGTCCATGAAATAGACATTGCAAATAAGTGTTTAAAACATGCGGAAATATGTTTGAAATGTCGGGAAAAGTGTTGTGAATACAGACCCAGAGCACAGGTGGTGCAGCACCTGACTTTTCAACCCAGGAATAAGTGTTTGAAAGGGGGGGGAAAGTATTGTAAATAGAGGAAGACTGTACTCAGAGAGCAGCACGCAGCACATGGCTTTTCAACCCAGGAATAAGTGTTTGAAATTGGGAGAGAGTGTACACAGAGAACAGGCTGCAGCAACTCACTTTACAATCCAGGAAAAGATGGTTTAAATAGCTTTAAAAGTTATTTAAATACATGTCTATTACACATACTTTAATGCACAAAATTATGTCCATGCAGTGTATACGTCGTAACCCAGCCTTGCATCATCGTTTTGCAGGTAATATGTGTACACTGGATCATTCAGAATGTGCTATTTCTGGATAAATAGCACATTCTGAACATATGTCAAACAGGCTATTTCACACTACCAGGAGACAGCGCGCGAAAACCACCTCTTTCTGGCCCTACACAGAGCCCCAAATCACGGACTAAGCAGCTCCAGCATCGCTCCCTGACATGAGCAAACAGGCTATTTCACACTACCAGGAGACAGAGCGCGAAAACCACCTCTTTCTGGCCCTACACAGAGCCCCAAATGACAGACTAAGCAGCTCCAGCATCGCTCCCTGACATGCGTACTTCCATAACCTCGCGCACCTTGGGTCCCCGGGCCCCCGAACTTAAGCACTCCCCCACAAACTAAACCCAGATGATCACACCCTCAAGAACCTCGTGCCCCTGGGAATCTTAAAGGGG